ATGCGATGGACTTGGTCCGGGCACTGGCATGTCATAGCAGCAAACCCCAACATTCGATCTAGGCGAGGAAGAATTCAATGCTCTCTTGTAGGCGACAAAGACGCTGGCCTTGTCTTTTCCCACCGATATCTTGCACGATGCAACCGACAGTCCAGGTGATGGAGGTGGTGGGATGGTCAAGTAGGATCGAATAATCTGCCTGCCACCACCATAGGTGTAGACGTGAACCACTCCACTGTCTGTACCAACAGCAACAACACCTGGGTAAACGTCGACAGCACATGCATTCCCACTACTTTCTGGCCACGGAACCGAAAGCAAGAATGACTTGGCTTCCAATTTGTCTGGAGTTGCAAGCGGTCTGCGACTGTAGTCATCACAAGTTAGTATATTGTTGCTACCTCGCTATACTCTGACTTCTAATACATATTCTTACCATGACAAATAAAGTTGCGGATCGACACACACCATGACGTTTTTCTTCGAAATGCAAGCCATGTGCAGTGGGCGGTGTCCAATAGTGGCTCTGCAAGTAGCAATACCAATGATTCCCTCCGTTTTATCAGCTTCCATATATTCTGAAATGATACGATCTTCAGCACTTTGAGGAGCGTTTCCGCCCCGAGAGGGCTTTGCTTGCCCCTTGAACGGTGCAATGTAACCTCTCCATCCATCCATATCTTCCAAATCTTTCTCTGAAGAATCTGGTGGATTGCATCTGACGGTAACATCAAAGCAGTGAACATACTCGGTATCTGTAGAAGTGATAAATGCTAACACCAATCCATCCATTGCAGCTCCGGTTGGAGGAACATTGCTATCATCTTGAAATATTTGTGCCTGACTTGGAAGTCGAATGGCCCCACTCTCCTCGAGCACTTCGATAGGAGCACAGGCCGCAAGACTGGACCACATATCTGTTAATGCGGAATCATCGGCATTAATTCCAGTGGCGTTCGATTTCTTTGGCTTGGAATTCATGGGCAATGCCGCTGTCGTGACAACCAAACTGACCGAATCATTTGCGGCTTTGCTGTTGGAACGGTTTGTTTGATTTGAAGAGCGTGGGATAATGTCTTCCAATACTTCAGAAGGAAGACTAAGCGTGTTGCGCTCAAAGAAGGCAAACCGCTTCCATCGAGACGACGCCATGATATAGGCAACACGAAGCTTTGTTTTGAAGCTTTGCTTTGCTTGCCTTGCCTCTAGAGCCTTGTAATTTTTTTGACAGTTGACTACTTGGACTAAATGTTATCGAACGGGTCGATTACCAAACGGAAATGTGCGCATCATTGCGATGCCGATCACACGCACAACGGCCAGGCTCGAGTCCACGTGAACGCTCGGCTTCTGGCAGGCAGGTCATCTGCGTTCGACTGTCGAGTGTCCAGACTGCCCGATCGAACAAACAACCGAAATCAACAGCATCTTTGTCGAATCCTTTTTCCAGGGACACTGACAACTCACATCAAACCATGGACCAAGCTCCAATACAGATCGGGCAGTTTATTCTGGGGAAGAACTTGGGAATCGGTGCTTTCGGAAAGGTAGGATTCACGAATTGCGTTCGAATTTTCATCCTATTGTTGTTGACATCAAGGCACTCCTCGGAAGGGAAGGCGATGTCTTTTTCTCTTCCTTGACATCGGTCTTCGGATTTTGTATGCTAAATTATTCGATATGACGTCACAAATGTTGGCACTCACCCCTTTTGCTTTTTTGCATGATCCTCTTGTGGCTATCGTTTCTGCTTTCTGCTTTGTAGGTGAAAGAAGCGACCCATGTTGTCACGGGGCATAAAGTAGCTGTCAAGATCTTGAATAAAGCCAAGATTAAGCAGCTTGGAATGGAGGAAAAGGTCCAGCGTGAAATCAATATTCTGCATCTCTGTACACACCCGCATATCATTCGATTGTACGAGGTCATTGACACTCCAACGGATATTTTCTTGGTGATTGAATATGTTTCCAATGGAGAACTTTTTGATTATATTGTATCCAAGGGAAGATTGTCAGCCGACGAAGCGAGAAATTTCTTTCATCAAATTGTTTCCGGTGTCGAATACTGCCACTTTCAGAAGGTTGTGCACAGAGATTTGAAACCTGAGAACCTTTTGCTGGACGAGAATCTGAATATTAAGATTGCTGATTTTGGTCTTTCGAACTTGATGCGCGATGGTGACTTTTTGAGAACTTCATGCGGGTCTCCGAATTATGCTGCACCCGAGGTTATTAGTGGGCATCTTTATGCAGGACCTGAAGTGGATGTTTGGTCTTGTGGTGTCATCTTATACGCTCTACTTTGTGGTTCATTGCCATTTGATGACGAATCGATTCCAAGTTTGTTCAAAAAGATCAAGAGCGGAATGTATAGTTTACCTACGCATTTGTCACAATTGGCGAAGAATTTAATTCCACGAATGCTCGAAGTTGATCCCATGAAGCGAATCACAATTCCTGAAATTCGGCTCCATCCTTGGTTTCAGCACAAATTGCCTCCATACCTTAGGCATCCACCAGAGCTTATGGAGAAGCAAGAGCGAGTTGTTGACTCTGAGGTAATTGAAGAAGTTCTCAAACTACCATTTCATAAAGCTTACGGAACGATTAGCCACAGTGGCTCAAACCACATGCTGGATGGCGGGGTGAACATGGCCCAACATCAATTCCCACAAGGTGTTGTCACAAGAGAGCTGGTGGAACGAGCAGCGGCGTTGGAAGATAATCGAGACTCGGGTACACCAAAACTACTGCGGGATCTGCGGTGCGCCTACGAGTTGATTCTTGATCACAAACATACTCGCCTACGTGTAATGGAAGTTGCACGAGCAATCAAGGAGGCAACTAGCGCAACTCCTCCTGCGTTCAGTCCTGGAGGGTCGAGAGGGACAACACCCGGCGGTCAGTACGGAGGAATGCGCTACTCTTCCTCTGGTGGAAGCTACGATGGCAGATACGGCGGTGCTCCTTATTCCAGCTCTCAATCTCCCACAGCACTCAACTCAAATTCTCCATCAAATCAAGCACGTTTAGCTGAAGAAGCGACTCGAGCTCTCATGCAGCCTGGTGCTGGTATGCAACAGTCACAACAACCCCCTCAATCCATTGGAGTCAGCAGCCACCCAGTGGTTCAGATGACATCATCAATACCTGGAAACACAGGTATGATTGCTCAACACCAACATGGACGAAGAACAAGACGATGGTACCTTGGTATCCAAAGTAAGAAGGACCCTGCACACGTCATGACAGAGGTGTACAAGGCATTGACGGCACTGGATTGTGAATGGCTACAGCTTTCATCATACAGAATTAAATGCAAATGGAGACCGAATTCAGAATCGGCGCGTCTAGGTATGGGGTACAACACAATGCCTTCTGCAGGTGGAGAATCAATTGCCGCAGCAATGGACACTGACGGTGCGATGGACATGGATGTCGAGAAGGATAAGAAACGGACTGGAGGTGCTCGAGTGTCATTAATGAAAGTAGTTGGTGGAGAAAATGGGCACGATGTGCCTGTTCCCATCTTGTCAACTCCTGACTATGCAATCAAGATTGGATTGACCCTGTACAAAGTGCAGCAAAACATCTACTTGCTTGACTTCCAAAAGAAGACCGGAGATGCATTTTCGTTTATGACACTATGTGCGAATATCATTACAGAGCTCAAGACCCTGAGCGCTGCAAGCAAACAGCAAGCCTTACTTGCACAACAGCAGGCAGCAGCTGCTGCTCAGCAGCAAGCCATGCAACAAGCTGGATTTCCACAAGGCGTCAAAAAATAGTTTACCATTCCATTCGACATGCGGGTTTAATTTTCTTACTATTGCAATATTAGTTTTGCTGACATTCTGTGACTTCTTGCGGTCCATGTTCAAACGTGATGATTCTATCAATAGTGTTGGTCGGTGTTGCATTTTGACTACTCATTCAGCGTCTAATAGAGTACAAAGTCAAAATGCTCTTGGAATGCCTCCAAATCACGAGAGAAAACAAGTGGAAGCAAATCCCACCTCTCCGAACTTGAAAGTGCCATTCTCAAATACGTCCAGCAATGGCCGGCTTCTCGATTCAAGCTCAGCGTCTGTAGATAGCATCGCGCAGCCGCATCGTGATCCTGAAGGTTACTGTGAGAAATTGCCATATTCAACCATGCTCTGGCATACTTCGGTTTTATTTTCAGCGCTCCGTGATAAGCGGGTAAGGCTTTGTCACTTTGGCTACCATTGGCTAGAGTCTATCAGATGAAATCGAGTGAGATGAAGATAATTTCGCACACGCACGAGCCAAATCCTAAAGCAGAAACGGAACGTACCGCCCCGAGTTTATTGTATAGCTGGTAGTCATCGGGTCTAACGTCAAGTGCATTTCGAAAAGCATCTGCTGCATTTCCATAATCTCGAATGACATTATAAATGACACCCAAAGCCTCGTATACATCACCAGCATCCGAAGAATCAAATTCTAACGCCGACAGCAATAGTTTCTTTACTTCTTCAAAGGCAGATTCTGCGGCTTGTGGTCCTGCCGCCTCCCCATAAATATCTGGTGGCATGGTCATGCCTGCATATTTTGGATTGTGGGTAAACCATGCTTTCATATTAGAAAGCGCCTTCTCGTGATTTAATTCGTTGACGTAGCTCACACCAAGTGCCAATAGGGATTCAGGTGAATATGGATCTCTGTCAACAGCGGCTTCGAGACATTTGATAGCCTCTGGATCTTGATCGTTTTCAGCGTGACAGCGTCCCAACATTCTCCAGGCTGATGCGTTATCAGGATTATTGTGTTGCAGTTCCATCTCGAACGATTTTATTGCTTCCTTCAGATCACCATCATTGAAATGTTTCATGCCTTGCTCCATCCAGTCTTGAGGCTCTGCAGGGATCTCATTATTTTTGAACTCGTACGCTTGTGGGGATTCCTCTACTTCTCCTTGAAACATATTGGCTTGGTCTTCAGAGATAGCATCAAGCTTATCGTATTCTGCTTCTGCTTCAGCCCAAGCAGCTGCAAGTTCTTCGATTGTCGCTCCCCTTACTGTTCCATCTTCGACGCCACCACTCTCCTCTAGTCTGTCTATTTCATCTTCCAAGCCTTCGTGCCAGTTCTCAAAGTCATCCTTGACCTCTGCCTTAGCAGCTTCTGTTGTGTCGCCCTTTTTTTCTGCGACAGAATTGCTCTGTTTCGTCGCCATTATGTTCATTTGTTGTTGTTGTTGTTGTTGCATCATTTGCTGTTGATGCTGCTGTTGCACGTACATTGCTTGCATTGCGAACTGCTGTTGTTGCTGCATTTGAAAATGCATGGCCTGTTGTTGCATCGCTTGTTGTTGCATGGCCTGTTGCATGTGGGGCTGATGATAAGCCATTTGGTGATTCATCGGAACTTCCATAACCCTTGTTTGTGCTGCTGGATGAAATGTTCCAGCAGTAGGGGGCATCGTTTGCGGAGATTGTGCTGCATGCGAAGCCGTGCCGGGAATCGTGAGGTGATCTGGGGACACGAGTGGCATCGCGGATGGATTTCCTATCGATGCATGGCCAAATAGGTTCCCAGCGTGCTTTGCTGCATGTTGACCTTGGTCAGAATTGATCAAGGCCCTTGCCGCTCTATCGATTGTTGTTCCTGCTGCACTACAATCTGCCATGATCAATCAAGTTTGTGTTTGTGGGGTCTGCTTCATTTCTCATCGAGTTTCTCTGAAACGACTCCGCCGACTAAAAACGACCTCCCACACTACACATCACCGCATACCGCATCACAGCCACAATAAACCAAACTCCTCAACAGCTTTCGCTTCAAAGGCTCTGGTTTCACATCTCAACAATTTCTTGGAACAGCAGGTAGTAATGGCACCTCAAGAAAGCGACCCATCACCCAATTTTCTCAAATCATCAGAACCGACTGGAAAGCTGCGTAAAGAGGATGACATAGATTCCTCGCTGAATGCTTGGCTGGAAGATCTTGAAAAACAAAACACCAGCCAGCAACATCCAAGCAAACTAGCTGATAGATCACGTATTGGGGGGGCTATATTTGGGACCATTGTGATTGGAGTTTTTGGCCTAAAGGCCCCCTTTGTATTCACCAAGTCTAGGCTTCCGTACATGGCTACACCCGGAACCAAAATTCGAAAAGCTTTGCAACACTTGTGTAAAGAGAAGAAACCAGGGCTATTCGTGGATTTGGGAAGTGGCGACGGCGAAGCAATTTATCAGGCAGCAAAGTTGGGATACAATGCAGTTGGAATCGAGTTGAACTTTACAATGTGGGCGATGTCATCAATACGAAGAAGACTCTTTTGGTCAAAGGAAGAGCGTTCAAGGTCAAAGTTGTTATGGTCCGATTTGTTTGAGTATGATTTGAAAGATGCAAATGCAGTGATGATATTCGGGGTGACTCCTTTGATGAAACCACTCAGTCAGAAAATTTCTTCACAGTGCAAAAGCGGCACAGACATACTGAGCTATCGATTTGCCCTACCGCTGGCCCACGACAAGAAGACACAAGATCTAATGAAAGCTGCCATGGTCTATGATCACGAAGAAATGCGGATATATAGGTGTAAATGAAAATGCTACAGCAGTTTACAACTAGTGGGACACGGTTTAGATCACGTTGATCTTTGCTTCTTGGCAGCAGGTTCATCTGTTCCATCCTCGTCATCATCTTCGTCGTTATCATCGTCATCATCTTCGTCGTCGTCGTTATCATCATCATCATCATCATCGTCGTTATCATCATCTTCTGCAGCTTCTTCACCATCCTTGGGGACGAAGTCTTCTGCAGCATCTTCTTCATCCACTTCAATTGGGCCAGAATAAAGTGAGGCTAGGCCCGGTTGGTCGTCATCGTCGTCATCATCTTCATTTTCGTCATCATCGTCGTCATCATCATCATCGTCATTCTCGTCTTCATCATTATCATCATCGTCGTCGTCTTCCTCTTCGTCGTTATCGTCCTGTGAAGACCAAGCATGTTAAAGAACGAATGGCTTGGTTGAATTCGGAATGAGTGCATGAGTATTAAATCTTACCTCTTCTTCTTCCTCATCTTCGTCATTGGAATCTTGACTTCCAATGTCGACTTCAGCATTCTCTTCTTCTTCTTCTTCCTCCCCTTCTTCGTCCGGTTCATCGGCGAATTCACTGGCATCGACGTCACCGACCCCAAACTCGGCGACGTCTAGCTCCCCAGCTCCAAACTCGTCGACGTCTACGTCCCCGGCGTCGAAGGATTCTTCGTAATCATCATGGTCGAAACCATCGTCAAAGTCTTCGAAGTCTGACATGGTGTTCTTTTCTTTTGTTTCTGTTGTGGACGGAAAGTGCGTGAGTAGAGGATCAAGATTTTTTTTTGTAAGATCGACGACTGGCACGAATGATCAAGACTGGTTCGAATCGAATGACTGGTTCGAATGATAGGAATTCAAATTTCGGCGCGCTCCTGATGGCCGGCGTCACAGAGCGACGCTTCCCAACGTTGAGATTGAATTGGGTGAACCGTTCAGTAAAGTACTGAGACACCCGTGCACAGGACATTTTGACCAGATTGGAGATCGATTGTGAATCAACTCCAAATCTCGGTTCCTTTTTTTCCTTTTTTCATGGCAACTTCGGTCGTTGTCGATGAAGCAAGAGAAAACCAAGGCATGCAAATTCATCAGGAACACCAAAGCACCCAAAAGGTGGACCAAAATAAAGCATGGAACATCTCTTCAATTACATTATTGAAGCTTTTGAAGGACCTTGCTGAATTTTGGTGAGCCGTTTTTGGTGTACGGTCAAACGTCGGATGCAAAGACTCGGTTGAAACTTGTGGGCTTCAGCAAATCCAAGGAGAGTTCCTTCTGATGCAAACCAAGACTTTCAATTTATCCATGAAGATTGGACTTACTTGTTTTCTTGAGACTTCCTTTTGACCTTTGGAAGGTATTAAATTGTGGTCAGTTTGTGGAAAAAATCGATTTTGTGAGAGAGTTCGATTTTCTGATTTTGTGATGGGGTTCAGTCTCCGATCCTGTAGCTGTCCGTACGTTACAGTACTACACGAATGCATGATTCTGCTTTGTACCAAAAGTCTACATACGTCGCAAAACATCCATAAGTAAAATACTCGCACCATAAGTACAAAACTAACACGAGAAGAAAGAAACACGAGAAATCAGTTGATGTAGAGCTGCTACCTACATCTACGCAATTTCGATCTTGGAGCAGTTGTGTCAGGGCTTGCTATACGTAGTTTCAGTACCAGTTTTAAGCGAATCTCCAATCTTCCGCTTTCGGGCGGATTTCAGATGTTCTGCTTTCTGCTGCTGGTGGTTGAAGACAACCCGAAGTCTTTGACAATTAGGTACCAGGTACCGGTACCAGGTACTCTTTTCTCAACCACGAATGCAAATAAGACTTCAGACTGATGCGGATGAATCATCAAACTCTCAAGAGCCCCTAAAGGAGATATCATGAAACAGTCTACCTTGCATTGACCTAACATCGACATCGTCTCATCTTCCATCAGCGTTGGGAAGCATCGTAGGGTACACCTAAAAAGGCCGCTTATTGGCTGCAACTGTATGGACTACGCAATCAGGACTCTCTTTTCCATTGGAAATTTGGATGAATAATCATCTGTAACATTGCTCTTAAAAACAGACGTACCGTATGACCATTTACTCTTTGTGCTATACTCTTGGTGCTACTGTAGAATTACTGGTACGATTTGACTAGGGAGGCGGACAGGCGGCCAAATCAAATAACGTCTGTACGCTGTCGGTACGTGAGACGTGGAAAGTAAACAAGACAGAAACAGTCCGTCCATCAACACGATAATCTTGGAAATTTCGACGGTGATCGATCATCGCGTCAGCGATCTGTCGTTGGAACTCACGCATCACAATAAACCTCCTTTCGAAACAACACTCTTGAATAATGAAGTTGTCAGTCATCGTTGGGTTTGCATCAATTGCCGCCTCGTCTGCCTGGGTTCCAGTGTCTTCCATGACAAGAGCCTCCAGAACTGCTCTTCCGATGGCCATTGATTACAACGATCCTGTTGTTGCCGCAGAATTTGCCAATGTCCAACCCTTGACCTACGAAGAGGTCGAAGCTGAATTGCAAGAATGTGGAGTTCGGCCATCTGCTGCAATGAACGAGATGGAAGTTAAATTGATGTTGGTTGAGATGAGAATGCGACTTTCTGGGAAAATGTCAGGTGAAGAACCCAAGAAGCAACCCACCAAATTTTCTTCCAAGCTTGAAGAGGCTCTTTGGACCAAGCCTGTATTCGCAGACCTGTACAATGGTTTCAAGGAAAAGGACGACCACAACTCTATGAACGTCATTGCAGAATACCTGAATGATCCAAAAATGGCCAGAACCCGATATGAAAAGACTTACAAGGGATTGATTCGAAAAATCGACAAGGCCATGACTGCACCACCACCAGTCAACAGCCCAACGCTCCAATTTTCTGGATTCCCAGCAAACATGGGAGAAGCTGGGTGTAAAATGACGCTAGAATCACTCGGTGCTATTGCTGACTTTGAGTGTGCAGAGGATAGCGATTTCCCCGTCTTGACAGGAAAGGTTACTTTTGAAGATATCGAATCTGCAAAGAAGGCCGTTGCACAATATCACGGAATGGATATGGGAATGGGAACATCTCTTCAGCTAGTTTCTGTTTAAAAATATTACTAGAATGTTGTAAAAATGCTTGAACTGAGAGATTGGATGCTATTGTTTTTGTTTCATGCAGTACATTCTTGGGCTCGAAAGTAGCTAGCTAACCCCAGTATTGATATGAGGGTAAGTCATGATAACCTACAGTAAGTGCCTAAATTGTCAAAGGTCTTTCAAGTTTAGGATTGCCACATAGCAAAATGTGACCTCAGATGATTCAGTCGACTACGTGCGTTTTCGGTTCTTCGATGATGTGGAAGAATTGCATCGTATCAGCTAATCAGAAATCAGACCATGAAAATGAAGGGCCTACTGTGCATATGGTCTGTGTGGTTGGCTGCGCCAGAATCCATCGCATTTGTTGCAAACCAGCAGCAGCACAGAGGGACGATTAGAATCAATGATTTTTCACTATTTGGCATATCAGAGTGGCGAGATTCAATATTTAATTTACCAGGCGCGGATCGACAACCGCTAGGAACAGAAGTTGGCCCACCGGCCAAAGAGATTTGCATTTTGCCTTTCCCATACGACGAAGTGCTTCTACAGGGGCAAGAGAAACAACTTCGTTTGTATGAGGATCGATTTATCAAGTTGTTCGACTACGCCATGGAGCAGCACTCAGGAGTAGTCGCAATGGGTCTAATCGCCGAAAGTGGAATCATTCAAACTGTTCCTATTTGTGAAATTGAAGCATACAATCGAATGGAGGGTTTCGGCATCTTCGTTACTCTCAGGGTATGTTCAAGGGGTCAGCTCTTGGAAATCACGCAACAAGACCCGTGGCTCAAGGCAACTTGCACTGAAATTTCGGACAAAGTACCACCAAACTTGGAGCTTCCAAATTTGGTTGCTAGCAATATCGAGAACTTTATGTTATTATTGTCAAGGTAAGACTGGTTTAAGGACATAGATGCAATGGTTGTTGTTGTTCCTGTCGAAATAGCTCAACATGTGCACAACGTGTAGTATGGAGCATCGGCTAGCGAAAGTTTCGGATAAGGACGGTGACGGAGACGACAAGGATGTTGCAGAGATGCGACGTAAGCTTCAGGCTGCGAAGTTGGTAAGTCGACATGTTCTTATGATGGACGCCTTGGTTGCAATCGAAACTGAACAACAATGTTTTGCAAATCTGATGCAGGATGATCGTTTCTATGACGATCTTGGAGACGACGAAGACGATGAAGTTTCGGAACTTGACCGCAAGGGTCGATTCACACAAGCCTATAACGTTGCTCTTTCGACCGATACGCAAGGCTACTGTGTACCTACCGGTACAAAATTAGACAGAACGCCGCAAGAATTAACAGCTATCAGTTGGGCTGCGTTTTGCACCAATGTAAGTTTGAAGTGTGGTTATATTGGCAGGGTACTCATCAGTGCGGCGCTGCACGAACCGTTAGAAAGATGATTGGACTAACACACATTGCTTCATCAGGTATTGCCAGATGAAGATGCCTCTTTCCGAATCCAAGCACTGGATGCCGACGACTTATTTGATAGACTAAAGCTTGCCTCGCATATGCTCCGAGAAAAGAAATCGTTCACTCGACAAATGATGGAGAAAGCCGGTCTCAAGCTCAAAGGAGATGAGGATTTTGATGAAGACTTCTAATCGCGTTGAAAATCGGCGCTGCCAACATTTTTCACTCCCGACACAAGCATCCATGTGTTTTGTACTTTATCCACGCTCAGCCGCAAAGTACTGTTGAACAAACATCATCTTCGCCTCACTGTGCTAGTCATTCTTTTGTCGTATCATCAATCGGAACGAACGAATGAACTGACGGTCCATGGTAATGGCAAGACTAAGAGTCACCACCACACAAAAGACTCCCGCTACCAAGTGATGTCCTGTTAACCATAACCACTCTTTGTTCCGAATCTGTAGTGCCGTATGGAACCCTCTTTCCTTTATCTTTCCAAGCGTGTGCCGAGTTACAGCCCATGATAGTCCATAGGATGCAATTACCATCGGATGGGGGCTCATATTTCGTAGTAGCCTTAAAAGTACCATTCTGGGAGGCTTCGACTCTTTTTCTCCGAAGTATTTGGAAGCCAGGTGGAGCGAGAAACATGACCGCATCAGCATTGCCAAGCAGTTGACTGCTACTAAACCAGCCGCAGCCCCCTTTGCCGTTGCCCATGGCGCCAGAACTACCAAGGTGATCCCCGTTACTGCGTGAGAAATTCCAACCTCCATCATTCCAGCTCTAGTGACACCGTAGACAAATGCCTCTGTCATACCATTGGCTGCAAGAAATGCGGTGTAAACGCAAAAAGCACTCAGCACGTTCGCCGCTTCTTCGTTGCTTCCCCATTCTCGCCCTGCCAACAAGCAGAGCAGCAGGTTGGTGTAGTTTACAGCTACAAAACTGAACAGGAGTCCAATGTATAGCACGAGCTTTACGAAAATCAAAAAGGATTGTTCCAACTCTGCAAATGCATGCCGCATGGCCAGTCGACTCAAAAGCAACCGTGCATTTTCTTCCAATGGTTGTAGAAGAATCCGAGCTGCCAATCCACCATAGGAACTCCCCTTTTGAGTAGACAAGCAATGATGGGATGTGAGAAACATGAGTGATGGCAAGGAACTCAAGGTGTTTCCAAAAGTCTTGCTTCGACAAATGTGAGCGAAAAGTCGGAAACCTACCATGGCATAGACACCTTGATTGTAGCTGTCACTGAGTGTAGTCAGTACAATTTTGTCGGCTTCCGTCAACAAGTGCTTGAAGACACCCTGCAGAGTAAACTGGAATGCGCGGGAGCATGTTGCACCATCAAAGGTTCGATTCGGCATTGGCAAGGTATTCCAAGCATTCCAGTAGAGGTAGATGGCATAGGTCAGGGAATAGAGTAGCTGCGACAACCCAAAAGCCGTCACCGAAGTAGGTCCAAGGTATTGAAGCCCCACAACAGTTGCAAATGCTTTAGCCATTGTTCCCAAGGCTTCTGCAGACGAACGTTTGGGTGTATCCATACGACGAAGGAAATGCAGCACGGCTGGCTCTGCGCATCCCTCGATCCAAGATGCTAAACAATAAAGAGCTCCTGCCATCACATAATCAGAATCAACTTCGCCAGCTGATCCCGAATACAACGTCCGTGACAAATGCCAAACAAGAGCCAATCCTGCTACCAGACTTACCAACGGTATCGTAAGCCAAGCCACATTCCAGGATTCTGCTGTCAAGTTTCTGGTGAGTGCCAATCGAAAACCTTCACGACTAAAGAATAGGACAGTAGTCAAGAGAAGTTCTAGTTGGATACTGGCACGTCCGAGAGCAGTCGGGTCTAGATATCGCAAAGTTACTTGAGTGCAAGCAAAGGAAATCAATCTGAGTCCAAATGTAAAAAATGTCCCCCTAAGTGCGGCTCTACTATCTTCTGTGCTTCCCTTGCCGTTTGCTGTTGCTTCTGGTGATGCATCTTTTGCTGATGTCGACATGCTGCACGCAATGGCAAAAAAGAAGTGAAAAGGCAATAATTTAAAAACCATTTTGATGCCCTGATTCGGGGGTGCACCAAACTGTTTTCTTTTCAAAAGGGGGTACCTGGTACCTAACAAAGAATATCAATACCTACGTCAGATAACCTTGCTGTCAACCGTCAATCATTCAACTTGAAGGGTTCCGTCTGGAACGAAACATCGTCCGTGCCATCAACTCAACTCAAAGAGCGACAAATCGAAGCCAACAACTTCTTCACTCAACTAATCTTTGTCGCTGAAACTCTATTGAAGCCAGCACGATCCATTACTCGGGAAAATCCAACACGCAGACAATACCTTGAAAATTTCGTCACAAAGCACAAAACGACTTTTGAACAATGAAGTTTCACTTTCTCTTGTTTGCCACAGCTGCTTTCCAACTGGAAAGCGGGTGCGCCTTTGTCACAACGCCATCTAGGAATTCACCTTCCTTTTCTACCACTGAACTGGCGGGAAAAACCCGGAAAGCACGACGCATGCAAAAGGTTGAGAAGCAAAATAGGTTGATCGATGCCATTGATGATGCCAATGGAAAGGAAACAAAAAAGAAAAAGAAGCAGAGATCGTCTGGAGGCCCTCCTGACGATGATGATGAGGAAGAAGACAGCGCAGCTGCTGCTAGAGCCCAGATGGAAAACCGCCCTGAGTTGTCCACCATGATTGTTGACGAAGAGACCGGATTTGAACTTATTCAACAAGGAAAGAATGTGCTAGATGTCGTTACCCGAAAGGCGGTCAAGCTGAGTGATAAGGGCCCCGAATACCGCTTGGCACAAATGTTCCCAGGAGTCCCCCCTGAAATTCGCGAAAAGCATCGGTTGGACTGGAATACTGTGGAAGTTCCCGAAATGGTTGAAAAGCTTCGCGCTGCTTGCTCCGTCAAACTGGAGGATGGAAGCACCGGAATGCCACCATTTCCATCTATTTCCAATGAAGGCTTGGACTTTGTTCTTGCCAATCGCGATCTTTTGGGACGTAGAATGAAGAAAACCCTGGGACGTCTTACTATGAGAACTGCTTGGCTGGAGGATGGTGACAAGGAAACTAAGGAAATGAATGCGTTTTGGATGAACTTCATGACTCTCGAGAATCACATTTCTGCTCCCTTCCGACAGATCATCCAAGACGCAGAAGGCCGAGTTGGACCCAACTTTGGTAATCTTGAGCTCGCAAAGTACTGTGACGGTGACTTGTACGAAAGAATCGGAAATTACATTGTTCTCAAGGGAATGGTGGCACACTGGGAGAAAAAAGTTGTTGATGCCGATTATATCGAAAAGAATCCGCAAACAGAAAAGAACCGCGTCAGTATTCTGGCCGTAGGTGACCCTAAGAGATACTTGCCAGAGCCACCCATTCTTTTCACGTTGAAGGAGTGCACGCAAGTATGTGCAATGGCCCAGCAAATGTGCCAGCTCTTCGTCGAGTCAGATGATCTCTTCGGCGACTTCCCTCCAGAAATTACCTTCTTGGAAGACGCTCTTAAGATCAAGGGAGGAACAGCCCTCCGAAAATACATGATTGATGACTTCTGCCCAAAGCGGGGAATCACACCAGAAGCATTGAGAGAGGGAATGAGACGATTATTTCAGCAGCTTGATAACATGCAGAAAGATCCTTATGCTGATTTGACGAACAAGGTCGAATCTTTGTTTCGTGCCATGGCGGTTGGAACAGACGATGAAAGAAATCCTTATGAGCCATACTTGTGCAACTTGGACCAAAATGGTCCAGGATACTTCCAAACATACACTTTCAACCACAACAAGCAATCTATTGTTAGGTTTTTGGACAACAAATATGAAAATGGAAAAATTGAGTTTATTGGCTTGCCAGAGGACGACGACACATCAAACGATGAAGGGGTAAGTACCCGGGTTGGGTTGTGCCAATGATTTTTTGTTAATATTGACTAACTCTCCACATTGTCCTACTTCTTCATTCAATCAAATTCTACGTTTGGAGTAGCTCCTCGGAGGTCTCGGAAGTATGTTCAACTTCGGCAAAAAAGGAGGCGGTCCTGTCAAGAGTTTGCGTTCCGAGCCCAAGTCAGGAGACAATTTTATATACCAGGCACCCGCTGAAAGAGCAATGGGAAGGCCGCACGAATTAGGCTGGTTGGAGAAACTTGAGACACCAGAAGAAAACTGGGTACGATTGGGACAAGTTCCAGCAGGAAGAATCATCACTGAAGAATAGACATGCGTGTTTGCATATAATATACGCAAATACACTGTTACATCTTTCCTCACTTGTCTTTTTTTGTATATATTACTGTTTGCTTTTAGTGAACAAGTTTCTTATCTAGTTGGAAGCTGCAGCGTCGCGTTCAGCATTCTTCGCGGTGTAGTCAACTGGGGCGGCACCAGCTCCCGATGCGAATCTCTCAGTTCTCAACTCAGCGCTTGGTGTGAAACCTTGCACCAATGGCTTGTAGATTTGTCCCAAGATTCCAGGGTCCAAGAATTCGTACATGGGATCCCTCTTGGCTGCCTCGGCAAGCAATTGCAAGTGGTTGTCGACGTGAGTCATGGTATTCGCGGCAATGGCCCCAGATGCCGCGGCACTTGGCGTTCCAATACCAGGAAAGCACGAGTCTCCGCATCGAAGCAAACCATCAATAGGGGTTTTCAAGTTGGGGAATGGGAATGGCAGGACCTTGCCCAGCAAACCAGCTTGAGGTGCTGAACTGCCAGCAGCCCAGGCCATACCATAAGTTCCACGATCTCTTCTCAAGAAGGCTTCATGAGCTAGCGGAGAGCCAACAATGGAGAATTCCAATCTGTCGCGAATATCAGGGATGGCACGTTCGACAGCTTGGAAGAGAACCTCAACACGTTCCTTCTTGTACGCTTCGTATTCCTCAGTTCCTGGGGTAAGCTTTTCCCATGGTTCGTATGGTTCACCTCCAGAAGAATAGACATGGATGACATGTTTTCCTTCGGGGCAAACACTCTTGTCAAGAAGAGATGGGATGAAGAAAGAGCAAAGATTTTGCGAATCTTGCATCGATCTGTCCCAATCTTGAACAATCAAGTGAGCAGGGTCCTTCAAGTGAGACAAGTCAAGCCCAGTTGCATCAACTCCAAGGAACAAGTGACTGATGGCACCGTGTCTTGGAAGAGTCCCCAAATCGTTTCTCCACTTGGTGAGCTGCTTGGGTTCGTCCTCCTTTTGTGGCATCATTTTGACAGTATCGAACGGAGTCGCGTTACTGACAACAGCCTTCCGAGCCTTGATGACATTTCCGTTCTTTAGTCGAACGCCAGTGGCACGTCCGTCCTCAACAATAATCTCGTCGACATGAGCATTAAGTTGAAGCTTTCCGCCGAACTTCTCAAGACCACGTTGAAGAGTTTCACCGAGTTGGGAAGTTCCTCCGATAGGGACACTGAAGGCAGCAGATTCCTCAAAGAATCTTTCAAGGATATACAGGATGTGAGCAGTCATGGCTCCCTTGGCTGGGAAACCGCAGAAGATACACATACAATCAATGAAGTTGCGAACGAATGGGACGGTGACAATTTCATCGACAGTCTTTGAAAGGTCATCAAAAGTCAAAGGAAGATCGGCAAAAACGTCAGGGTGGGTAGCAACGAATGGAAGTGCACCGGCAGTTGTGGAAAGGAAACCAGCATCTTGGCGAAGATTCAAAAGCGCGACAGCTGTGGTGGATCCTCCAAGTGTCTTTAGGCGATCGCGAAGGGCATTCCATTCCTGCAATACACGTGAAAAGATGGGACGTGAGAACGACGACGAGGTGCCCGGATGATGCGACGGTGTCCACAAAAGGTTACCTTGACAGCCTTAGGTCCATCTTCTCCACATTGTTCCATTAGGAGAGCTTCGAATCCCTCAGCACTCCCGATTGGGAATCGCCAGTATCCCTCTGGAGTCCAGAAACCGAGACCCTTGTAAGTTTCAACAGGCATGGTTTCTTCCAAAATGTCGAAAATCATTCGCAAGGGGTTCAAACTAGGGCGATCCAAACCTTCAAAGATAGATGGTCCAACTTCGAACGAGTATTTTTCTCCTTTGTGAACTCTGGTGAAAGTGTGGGCACTTCCTCCAACCTTGATGTGACTCTCCAAACATAGGACCTTTGATCCATACTTGGCACTCAATGCGGAACAGGCAAGTCCTCCCATTCCAGATCCGATAACGATAATATCATATTCATTGTCGCCATCTTCACCTCCAGAAAGACCATTTCCAGTTCCTGGGTACGTAGGCTTTTCGTACTTTTGCTCCAAAGACATATCGTAAGAGAATGTCATGACCTTTTCTCGGGAGGTGTCCTCTGTCTGGGCAACATTTGTATTGGATTTTTCTGGAGCTTCCGTGGACATGTGGATTGCCACATTGCGGGCAGAGGATTGCGAGGATGGAACGAAGGCATCCGAGAATGCAAGAAGCGCCAAGGCGCCGATATAAGTAGAAATTTTCATGTTTCACTATCGACAAAGGATTAATTTTGAACCTTGTCAATTGTCAAGCAGAAAGTGA